ACCTGGCGGCTGAGTTGCGAAGCAGAACAAGGAGTTTTAGATGCACGCCGTTGAAGTTGCGAATAGTGGAAGGTCTATCAAGCTCTCAGGCAGGGAGTCACAGGAACGAGTGCGTGGCTTCGTGCCATTGATGGCGCTGCATACGTACAACCTCTGAAACGACGTGTCTGTAGGAGAAAGCGTGCGGTTCTCTTTGTGAAAAGCCTCGTTCGGAGCTCAACCCAATTAGTCCCCAAACGATCAAAAATCGCGCGCTCTGTTTTGCCGTCGCGGCCCACTCAGCGCGAGCATTACACTGGCGTGACACTTCATATTCTGATGTCACCGCGTATGTTTCAGCCTGGAAAGTGGGTTCCTGGAAGGAAGTTCGGTGTGTCTCCAACTTCTCGGTGAAAGGATTCTTTCGCGGCTCAAGAACCGCTCGACCGTTTCCCTCGATCCTTCGAGTGACAAAGGCGAGGATAACATTATTGCGAGCGGGATTCTATTGTTTTCTTTTAGAGCGCAGCTCTTAGGCGCCCGTTTCCGGGTTTCGCGGCGTCGGCGTAGCCGTGCTAAATTTAACGGGAAACTTGAAGCCACGTGACCTAAACACCAATTCAATTCCCCGCTAAATTTAGCGGGGAAAAAGACGTCACCTGACTTGGTGTTCCGTCACCTACGAACAAATTCAGTTTTTCCGCTAGATTTAATGAGAATACTGACCTCACGCGACCTCAACAGCAATTTATTTTCCCGCTAAATTTAGCGGGAAAATTGACGTCACGTGACCTCAACACAAATTCTGTTTCCCCGCTAAATTTAGCGGGGAAACTTACGTCACATGACTTGGTGTCACGTCACCTAGGAACAAATTCAGTTTCTCCGCTAGATTTAGCGGTAAAATTGACGTCACGTGCAAATGAGAAGGAGGAGGAGGAAAGGAGAGGAGCACGAGTAGGGGAGAGGAGGAGGATGGGCATACCCTTCGCTCCGTACCCTCCCCTCCTCCTCCTCAAGAGCTGCGCTCTAATTTCGTTTTACCAAATAATTTTGAAACTTCTATTTTTTTTATTTAGCTTTGTTCTGTCTATATTCTGTAACAATTGTGATTAATTATACACCCATGTTCGTTACACTCGATGCTCGACGAAAAAATAAGATCCCGTGGGATTTTTCTTCTCAGAAAGTCGATAAGCAATGACCATACAATAGTCATTGATTAGACAACAGCGCACCCGATAAAACACCGAATCGCTAGTTCGATGAATGATGTGGACACTCTTTTTCAAAACGCCAACGCGAAACGTAGGCGGTCGCCATTCTTTGAGGGCACGAAGCGTGTGATTGGGCCCGAGTCCTCGCCGAGCGATGACGTCACACTCGTGTCCAATACCCGCTCGCAGTGCCTGATCAAGCAATGGCGGACTAGGTGAATGGGAATAGCAGCTACTAGATGGAACGCGCTTTTGAAAAGGGTCTATTACTTGTTGTGGCTTAACGTGACCTTCATGTAAATGCGCGCAGCAATTACAACACCAATTTATTCGTTCCACGCAGATGTGCTGGGTTGTCATTGCTGGGTGTCCCAAGACGAAGCCTCGGCTGAGAAGGTATAAGTGACCGCGTTGTTTCAAGTGCGCTGTCTTCTCTTGAAAAAGTTTGTGGCGTCCCTATTCGATCATGTCGGCAGCAGCAACCTTATTATCATAACCGTCGTGATCATCATCATCATCACTATCATCGTTGTAGTCATTCCCGCCATGAAAAACCCAACTGCCTAAGGTTGTCTTCTGTTATTCATTACGATATACCCTGGTTGACTCAGGACCAGCTATAACCACCATAGTTGCTAACAGCCTAAGAAACAGACCTTATTATCATCCCGAGCACCTTATTATCGCCGATGGGCCGTTACCCGATGCGAATCCCCAAGAACAAACCACAAGGCAAGACACGTGCACATCATGCCCTGCGTTTCTCAAACTGACAATGCTAGCAAGGCACATCGTTTGTTGTTGATAATGCGTAAAAAAAAAAAAAAAAAAAAAAAAAAAAAAACTTGGCGTTGAGTGTTTTGTTTGGTTATGCATTTGCATTGATGCCTTCTGTTACAACTCGAGTTTATGCGATATTACAGGAAGCTAGGCTGTTTTTCGGCGCCCACGGAGACCGCATGTGTTCCACGGCAGTCTTCGAGGACACCACGTGTTGCGTGATCAAGCCTCATGTCTTCAGAGACGGTTCGTACGCCGATGGAATGATGTGATTGCAGCGCCGTTGGACGCCAAACTGCGCCAAATTGCTTACCCTGCTACATCCTGCTACTTTTTCACCAAAATGTACGGAATTTGCGCGCCGCAATTTGCCAAAGATTAATTTCACTTTAATAATACTAGAAATGTAACAGCTTGGGCCTCGCCACCCGGCCGGATCGTTGCGATAGGCTTGTGCGAGTATTGGAACTTCCGATTATCGCCTCAAATCAAATAGCGTACTATTCGGTTTGGTTTCGAGTCAAGCACTGGCAGCATATACTCGGAAGTTTCAAAATAATTCTCATGTTCGTTCATGGTCTGTTCTTGGCCGGTTGTGTAGTTTCGTTGAGTGCGCTTCTCACCGCGCATTGATGTACTGCAGTGAAGTGAACAACCGCGGAGTAGGCATCACGTTTTTGCGTGCTTTCCCGCAGCGCACCCTCGTGCTAAGGGGAAAGCACTTCTCCAGAGCGAGACTAAGTAAAACTACCCTAACGGTATTCTTTTTTTTTTTTTTTCGAGATTTAGCAAGGACATTTCGGCAAGAATAAATTTATGAACTCTTCCAAAGGTTTATTCTTTATGCCAACTCTTGTTACCACTTAAAGGTGAGAGTAAATTACAACTAAATTCGCAGAAGCAGGGGATGGAAGTGCATTTTTTTAAAGAAGGCGTATTAACCGTTCACATGGTAATTTTTCTGGTGAATCTTTACGTATAAAGTGTAAATGACGTTCATAATCAAATGACGAAAGCTTTTTTTATTATTATTATTTCAATGAGGAATGACAGTTTTATTGCCATCTCTAGGACTTGAAGGAAACAGTTTTACGTGATCAACATTATTGTGCTCTAACATAATTGAGATTCCGCACTTAAAATAGCCATTCACAGCAGTTAGTGCTGTCCTTCATCGGTCGTCTTCTTGTTACCGTTTCTGGTGCTTCTACACACAACTAATGCTTGAGGGAATCGCTTGTGCTGTGCAGTCGACGCCAACAAAGGGTTACACATAAGTGAGAAGGCAAAGTAGACATTGCCTTTTAGTTGTTTTCCATTAATCTTAGCATAATATTTGTGGTGGTATGAATATAAATTAAATGTGCGTTTATGCTCCAAAAGTCGTTTTTGCTGCTCCAAACTTGACTTTTGGCAGCTTCTCCAAAGTTACTCAGACCAATCCCATCACTGCTGATATTTTATTTCACGGCGTGAACTCATTAACCGTCTTGTATACTTAATAGAAGAGCGAATGTGGAATCGATGTTGAATAATAGGTTGCAGAAATAGATTACTTAGGACTAAATAGCTATAAAACAATATAATAATATAGTGCATGATAGATAATTGTTTGTTTTATCGTCAATTTCAAGAGCCTGTATATTTGACGCTTAGCAATGGGAAGCAGGAAAGTCAGAAATGATACAACAGCAGAAAAAGATTAATTTTAGAGTTGAAATGTGTGAAACAATTCGCACATATTCCCGATTCACGGGGGATACCTGAATTCCCGCGTTTTAAACACCCATAGAACACAGGACCTTTAGTGATAAAAGGAGACCCCGGCGCATGTAACGAACAAACATGCGTTTAAAGCGCAAAAATGTGAACACGAAAATAAAGAACAGTCGCCCAAGTGTCCGTCTTTTCATGAACGTCTTTGTTTGCAGGTACCGTTCACAAGGTGCTGAGTAAAATCCTCAAGTCGGGCTTCGAAATAACGGCGCTCCAAATGGTATGAGACATGCGTCGATTCCCACTTCCTCGCCAGTCCCGATGCGTGCGTGATCTGCAGATTGTCTTGTGCGACTTCAAACTATTCACGACGCTAATGCAAGGCTGCAGGCGAGCAGCCTTAGAACAAACTTTTTTTTTAAACTTTGGAGAATAGGGACACGGGACAGCACAAATTCGTGTTATGCTCTCTCTGTTTTTCCATTCTCCAGGATTAAAAAAAGGACGACGCTCACGTTTTAGAGCGCAGCTCCTAGGCGCCCGTTTCCGGCTTGAGCGGCGTCGGCGTAACCGCGCGGTGCATTATGAGAAATGTCCCAAAATGCAACGCGCGGGGAGGAGGAGGGGGAAGAGAGGAGGAGGTGGGGAGGGGGAGGAAGAGAGGAGGGGAGGAGATTAAAGGCTGAGGGGAGGAGGGGGACGATGAGAAGGAAGAGGAGGGAGGAGGGCCCTCCCCTTGGTACCCTTCCCTCCTCCTCCTCAAGAGCTGCGTTCTAATTCGGCGTTACAGGGAGTTGTAAACGTCTTTCATTTTTTGTACCGTCATTAATGAGTACGCCAGTGCGATGGTGTGTTTTTGCACTCAATCGTGCGCAATGGGCTGAACACACAGACAAAGACTGAAATGTAGACTCAATGAGGCGTGCACATAAAATCGACTACATAGTTTGAAATTGTTTGCCCAACACTGAGTTGAAAGTGACAGAGGAGGGGTGTTACTGCCTGTAACAGCTTTCACCACACTTCACGACAGACACATTTGCTGAGTTTTGCGCTCCCCTAGGTTCAAGCTCACTTCGCTATTGCATGAAATGAGCAGCCACTGAACAACAAATTTATTTTCTTCTACGAATCGTTTTTGCATGGGGAGATTGGGTCACAGGTTGCCTATTATGAATGTTTCGCTTTTACGTATGCGAAGAAAAAAAGTAATTTGCCAAAAAGATCTTTTAAAGGCGATAGCATCCACGTAGGTAAGTTCGTAACGTATAAGCTTATCCAAGTATGGTGTCTCGGTTGCAGTTATATCTGGATGGTGCCATGGCCGATGAATTCCTTCAGGTCTACAAGGGAATTGTTACGGACTATAAGGTCAGTACACGAAGCGGAAAAAGTGAAAAGAAATTCAAATATTTATAAAACCAATTTAAGAAATCTGACTATTAACGTTTTTCTTTTTGTTGTTTTTTAACCCGAAGTGAAGGATCGTACCATTGTTTCGTGTCCCTGCAATTGACGTAGATTTCAATGTCAGATTGGTCTACTTGTGGTATTTTATGTCTCTTTCTTAATAGGTCTTTGCTGTAATATTTTGAGGTTACTTATTGAAACGCCGTGACCCCGGAAGTGTATTTTACGAGAGCAGAAAGGGGGATCTGATATATATATATATATATATGGGTGGTTTCATCTCAAATCGTGCGGGCAAAAAGGGTCGAATTTTTAATTTCGATAAAAAAAAATATATGTTATGGCGCCGTTTCTAAAAACGTAGTCGCCGCAGACCGCAAGTTCGTCGGATTTTTTGTTCGCGACTTATGAATTTTTAAAGAGGCCGCGGCGAAAAGCAGTGTCTTTCACACCCGTCGTGGGTCGGATGTTTCGCTTCATCTCTCGCCGTGGATTTTCAGTCCACATTATATTATATTTTTTTAAGCACTCTGTGGACACATCTAAAAGGCTCCAATACCATCAAATAATTTTAGGCGTTTTGCTTTTTTTCTGTAAAAATGTCAAAAACGCCCCCTCGGTCAATTGTTGACGAATTTTGACAATTAATTACTGGCGATCTACTTGGGTTACATCAATACCTTTTATGTCCACGGAGAGCCCAAAACACGTTCTTTATACGTATTATAAAATGACTTGGTTGTATGAAATATTCTTTGCGGTACGTTTACGTTAACGTTACGTGAAAACCAAAAAGTACCATTTTTGAAATCGATTTTCTCAAAAAACCCATTTTTTATTTTTTTTTATTTTTTGTTCAAATGTCGATATGATAGTTGTCTACGCGAAAATCAAGTCTAGAAAGTGTATATTTTGTTTGTATGTTTTATATTTAAGCATCAATATTGTACAAAAACGTGTTTTTACGGCAAGAAATGGACTTACGAATTGCGCGTCTTCACAAGCTTGGAAATAGTTTTTTTTTTATTTTTTTCAACGTTCCCACATAAAAATGAAATGCAGTATTTCCACCCTGTTATATTTATTGATTATTTAAATTTTATTATAGGCGGCAAGCTACATCGGAGGAGTTCCAAAAAGAGAAAGCAACACTTCTTAACAGACCAGCAGGTGTCGTAAATTTTTAACGTGTAGGAGTCGACAGACGTCGTATGATCCGGGGCCCTCATTGGCCTGCATGAACGTCCCGCCCTTTCGGAGCCAGCAGATGACCACGACCTTTCGCGCTCGTTGTGTTAGGTAGGACGGCCCGTGACAGTAAAGCGAGCAGCGCACCCTGTGTCACGAGGAGTGGAATGGTACGATTGTGTCGTTGACGCGGCGAACAGTGACAGCCACCCAGGAGGAGTCAGTCAGAGTATTGCACAAGGGAAAGCAAAGGAATCGTTGCCTGAAAGGATGAGGACACCACGGCCTTACAATATCGACGGTCAACAACTGTTCTGCCAGCCAAAACAACGCCGCGTGCGCGCTAAAACCGGCGGCGCGGGACAGAAATCCCACAGACGCACACACGAAGATGGGCCGGTTTCGTTAGGGATGTGGGGAAATTTGAAACCATCCATCCGTGCATGCGTGAAACGATACCGCCTGTTTGCCCCAGCTTCGAGCGCCCTATCCTTACCTTGAAACGGCCGTGCTCTCTCTCCCTCTCCGGGGAGATCCGATAGCACCGAAGGGTTATCTATTAAACTTGAGGAAGAAAACGAGAAGGGGCTGTTTAAGTTTAATTATCAACACCAACCCGCTCATTCTGTCTTTATAAAGGGTGATCTCTTTTGGAAACAGCAAAGCCCGGAGACTGACATTAAAACGAGCGTGTTGGTAAATATACTTGTGTTTGTATTTTGCCAGAGACTAGTTGGGTCGAAGTCAGCCTCCTTGTCAACTATAACCGTTTGTGAAGAGTGGGCTTCTCTCGAGATGAAAAGTCAGCGCCGGCTGACGTGTTCTTTTGAAAAAGAGAAGGGGAAAGAGAAAGTTTGAGTAACTGCAGCTCGAAAGCTCCTCTCCCGATATGAAGCTTCAGGCATAGTCTCGGTTACCTTCTCGCGCATCGCCTGCTCGAATCTATTCTTCACTTTCTTTCGCACAGCCACTGTTCCGCACAGCCGTCGTGAATGTGCGTAATAGAGGGAGGAACAGATTCGAGCATCATCTGGACGCCGTCATCCTGCCAGACTTCAGTGTCGTGGGACCGACTCGTGTGTGTTTCTTCGCCCCGCTGAACTTAGTTTCTCGAGCGCGTTTTTGAACGTTTTTTTTTTTTTTTTTCAATGTTTTTTTACTAACTGTTTGTTAGCACTGTTCAGTTGTTGGGTTTATTTTGTCATGGCGTAGCGGCCTGGCGGTGATGTAGAGAGCGTGTTCGCACGCATTTGGTTGCGTCCCGTTTAGGAAATGCCCGGAGGAGTTGGTTTTTGTTCTTGCCATGTGCGGCTGAGTTTTCCCGTCTTTATTAAATTATTGATTTTTTTTATTTTACCTTTACGTGCCGTCGACTTCTTGGTCTGACTCTCCACCAGGCTTGGACCTATCGCCTTGCCACCGCTCGAACCTAAATACTTTATTTTTTTTTTTTTAACGCAATTTTCCTTAAGATCGGGGTTGGGCAATTTAATTCCTATTTATTTATTTTTATTTCGTACCCCTCTCCATGACACACCCTTTGTGTGTTTCGGACCGTTTCTGTGTCACCAATTTTGTTTATTACGGAAGTGAAAGGACATTCCCTGGTGACCTGTGCGATGTCCAAAGAACAAACCCCAGTGTTTGGTTTCGGAAAGAATTGTATATAATATATCGACCATGTGGTGACCTTCTATGTCTTAGTAATATGACAGCTAATAGCTAGTCGTGCTAGTTTACTGTGAAAGGTTTATAAATCGAAACAATACAACGTCTGTGCCTTCTGGCTATTGGAAGTCTACTAGGCCCGCTGATTTGGTTAGATATGTATCTCGTGGTTCCCGCTCTTATCGAAACATACATAAATATTCAATACCACAAAATCTGTTTATAATTGATTACAAAATGCAGAAGAAAATTCAAGAAAACTTTTTCACAATTCATAGAGACGCATGGGTCGTAATGTCTGACTTAGATCTTGCAAAACAAAGACGTTTTTTTTTTTTCGATATTGAGGCCTAAATATAAAACATACAAACAAAATATACACTTTCTAGGATTGATTTTCATGTAGACAACTATCATATCGACATTTGAACAAAAAATAAAAAAAATAAAAAATGGGTTTTTTGAGAAAATCGATTTCAAAAATGGTACTTTTTGGTTTTCACGTAACATTAACGTAAACGTACCGCAAAGAATATTTTATACAACCAAGTCATTTTATAATACGTATAAAGAACGTGTTTTGGGCTCTCCGTGGACATAGAAAGTATTGATGTAACCCAAGTAGATCGCCAGTAATTAATTGTCAAAGTTCGTCAACAATTGACCGAGGGGGCGTTTTTGACATTTTTACAGAACAAAAGCAAAACGCCTAAAATTATTTTATGGTATTGGAGCCTTTTAGATGTGTCCACAGAGTGCTTTAAAAAAGATAATATAATGTGGACTGAAAATCCACGGCGAGAGATGAAGCGAAACATCCGACCCACGACGGGTGTGAAAGACACTGCTTTTCGCCGCGGCCTCTTTAAAAATTCATAAGTCGCGAACAAAAAATCCGACGAACTTGCGGTCTGCGGCGACTACGTTTTTAGAAACGGCGCCATAACATATATTTTTTTCATCGAAATTAAAAATTCGACCCTTTTTGCCTGCACGATTTGAGATGAAACCACCCATATATATATATATATATATATATATATATATATATATATATATATATATATATAGCCCCAGCCTTGTATATATATATACAAGGCTGGGGCTAGATAAGAGACGGAAAAGTTGCGCGGGCGCCTTACCGCAACGGCTAGCCTTGCACCTGTTCCACGAGTGGTAAGTTTAGAGCACTACTATGCTTCTCACGTGCTCAAAGTCTTCCTAAAAATTACTGGTTTTCGATGACGCTGAGAAAGTTTCTAGTTGAAACCATATGTCTATTTTTATTAATTAAAAAGTTAATGAACAGATTTTAATTAATTAGCAAACTGATCGTTACGATTAGCCCCCTATATTACGTCCCCCCGGCCGTATAACTCACCTGCAAAAACCTGATAAGTGCAACTTTCACGGCATTTTTAAACAAATCTGTTAATTAAAAAAACACCCGGTATCTATCGATCTCTCTCTTTATATATATATATATACACAATTATAAAATCACGCTGCACATATTTGGCGGCTTAAAGCATAACTCTATATCGACAGCCCTTTCTAAAACAGCTCATTACCTCTCGGAAAGACTGCTCTAAACATATTGATGAGTCGCCTGAAACTACGTCTCCATTCTTTCATTCGGACCCCGTGTTATTGTACGACGAGGAACAAGTGACTCTTGTACTCTCACCATTATGGCGGAGCACCCTGAGTTTTCTTAGCTTCCCTTCGAAGGAGAACCAGGGAGCTTAATTCCCTGAGAAAAATACCGAGGGGGGGGGGGGGGGGGAGGATCCAGAGCCCCCTCTGCCCCCCCGCTTCTAGGATTGACACCTTTGTGCATACTGCAAACAGACTGCTAATGAAATCACCAGAATGTACACAGGCTGTTTGATAGGGTGTATAGGTCTCTTTCCAAGACTCGAGCTTCTTTGTTTTCATTGTCCAGTCTCCTCGATAATTTGGTAAGGCCTTCTGAATCACGGGGCTCTACCTTGGAATGTCCGACCAGAACGCCGCACGACGAGTCCGGAGTTTGGCTTCGGCGCAATACAGATCAGGTGTGCAACGAAGCCCGCCGAACGTAACGGAGCAGCTCTGCTACACTGGCCGTGGCCACATCCACAGTAGTAAAGCTTGGAACTGCGTTTTTTTTTTTTCTTTTTACATATACACTTTTGTTGCGTGTGTGGCGACCGCCATGTTGATTTATTTCGTAGCTGGATTGGGTAACAACGTCGCACCACTGTATTTGCCGAATCGACGCTAGAACTCGCGCGAAACACATGTACGACGAAACCGTCCGATCCGACGTGCGGACTGCCGGAATGACCTTGAGGGGAGAGGGTTTTCATAGCATCGGAGAGCGTTGAAAACCCTCGCATCCGACCGTCGTATTGCGCGGTCGGACGTCGGATCGGACGGTTTCGTCGTACATGTGTTTCGTGCTTTATGCCGCTCACGGTCAAAGCGAACGCGCCTCAGAAATAAAACGCGAAGAAAAGCACAGCAACGCAGATGCTTCGTCACGAAAGCCGTGAAGTCGGCGGGGCAACCGCGCCTGCGCGGTGGAGAGCGTGATGTCACTGGTTAAGCGCCGTGTGCAAAAGGAAGACGTGGCGTGCTGCTTGTAGGAGCGCGGCGCGTGTAGGAATCCTTCCGCATTCCTACACGTAAACAGTCTTAAGTGTCTCGGCGTGTTTTTTTTTTAACTATTTGCTTTATTCATTGCCGCCCAACATAACTACGTCATATTTTGACATGTCAACCGTTACACAAAAACGGTCTATGGCTGGAGGCTTGAGTACAGTGAAGGCTATAGGTGCGACGGCTGCAGATTGCGCTGTGCAAGGTGCAAGGCAAGACAAAAGGGCACGCTCCATTCGTGTCGGAACTACACCCCGTTCAGCCTTGACAGTGCGGTGGGATCCACACTCGCCGGATCAATCAACCGGCTGCCTTCCATCACCCGACACCGCTCTATGCTCGTAACCAGGGCCGTAACCAGGGGGGGGGGGGGGGGTTAGGAGGTTCTGACCCCCCCCCCCCCCCCCCCGAAATTTTTTTCTGGGTACGGCCCTGCTCGTAACTACGGGCGGGAGTGCGATCGCGTGGCTACATGATGAACATATGATTGGTCCAACGAATCCGCCGCACTGTCAGCTGACTAATGCCCGACCTCGTTTAAGCGATGTTGAGGTCGACGAGTTAGAAGCCCGGGGGTTTCCGATCGTCTGACAGAGCTCAGTCGGTTGTATAAGCGTCGCGTGTCGTGCCTCCGCCCAGTATTTGCCCAAGTTTCGATCCCGGATAACCCCGAAATTAAAGCGGGCTCGTATTTCACTCAACTTAATCGCTCGTGTGCGATTCCCCGGGCTATCGGATCAAAAATTCGTGCGTCCATTCAGCGAGAATTCGAGATAAGCGTTTCACACGCCCTATCGGAGCGATTAATTTCTTCCTGCCCTCGGTTGAATAGGCTGCCCAGCTCGTTGACCTCCCCGAATGCATTCCCGCTTATTACGAATACTCGAACTATAGTCGCTTTAAGAAGCGGGGGGCGGGGCTTATTATGTTCCGTGGTTCTTACGGGCCCATGCTGCAACTTCATTGGTTGCGGAGGTTGCGGCAGGGATTCCCATATCCTGCGTTTCATAGTGGGCTATTATCATCTACTAGACGAACAAAAATACTATAATTAATTATTTTCCAGAGGCTGCAGTATTGGGTGTTTATGTTCTCCCACTGTTCTCTTTTTCTTCGACTCGAAAGTTTCTTAAGTTTTCCGCACCGCAGTCTCGGGTGTTACGTTATGATTATGTCTTCTCTTTTAAAGATAAGCCGCCTCGGTGGCTCCGAGGCGAGAGCGTCGGCCTACGGATCCCCATATGGCGGGTTCGAATCCCGGCCGAGGTGCCCGCAATCTGACGGAGGCTTATTGCGGAGAAGACGCCGTGTAAACGAGCTTTCGGTTGCACGTCAAAAGATTCCCAGGTGGTCGAAATTAATCCTCAGTCCTCCGCTGGGGCGTGCCATATGCCCGTCGTTGGTTTGGCACGTAAAAACCCCCAAATTTGACTTTCGATTTCTCTTTTAAAGATGCCTGCTCGTCTACTTACCCGCAAAACACTCGAAGAGCCGATCTCTGCGATCTACGAAATCAGCTTAGCGAATGATGAGGCGGAACATCTGTTTAGACCTCAAAATGAAGTCTGCCCTGGGGCATTACGCGATGCAATTGAGCACGACGCTTTGCATTTCGTAATGCACTAGCGCAGACTTCATGTTTAGGTCTAAACGGACGTTCCGCCTCATCATTCGCTGAGCTGATTTCTTAGATCGCAGAGATCGGCTGTTCGAGTGTTTTACGGGCAAGTAGACGCGCAGGCCTTTTTTTAGAGTGTATACGTTCGGCATCGCGGTGACGATAACGGTGTTACGGAAAAACTACGCTGAAGCTCTAATAACCCCTAGAGTCAAGAAACCGGTTGATTGCGCGGGCCGTTAGATGGACGCCGCACAATATGCATGCGACAAAGCGTAAACCACGCAACCCATGACGTTACTAACTCGGCCACAGGGAATGGTCCACCAGATGTCGAGCGGTCCCTGCCTCGTGCTGGAAGTCAGGGGCTGCTGCGGCCCAGAGACCCCGAGGCAGTTCAAGGAACTCGCCGGACCCTCGGACCCGGTAGGGCTCGAGGACGTTTCACGAGCACTTAGAAGACACGACGGCAGAAGCATCTGCGGACACGAGTAAAGCATGTTCGAAGCCGGTTCACTTCTTCATACATCTGTATGCTTGGAACATTTCTGCGGACAGTTTCTGTAGGGCCGATGTGACCGTCATACAAGGAAGAAACCCGCTTCGGACAGTAGAGAGTTTTAGGGAACCGTTTTTGCACGCCCGATATATAGATGGGCCCTCCGGTACAAACTGCGCATGCGCTATAGCGGAAGACTCGCACTGTCTAGTGTCTGCAGACTGTCTTTTGTAGGATGTATTAGCGAGGGGATTGCGGCTTTGAAGAACCGGCCAACCAGCGCTCGCCAATGGGCATCCAGTTAGGTTTCAAGTTCTTTAACTAGTGAGAAACAAAGAAACAAGATGATGATCCTATTCCTTGGGCCAAAATAAAATAAATTTCCTTTTTTCGGTTTATATATTTGTTTGGATAATATATTTAGAAACAGTTTCGATGTTTCTGAAAGTCAGATTCGTTGAGTGGAAGTGAATACCCGTCCTACGAGCATTTTGAAAGGCCTTTAGTGCCGGGATATGGCATTTATCCAAACGCTATTTTAGGAAATGGCCGAATTGGCTGGTGATCCAGTTTCGGAGCTTTGATCGTGGCATGCTCCGTTTCGCTGACTTTCATCTGGCATTTGTTAGATTTCATTTAGGATTTCCGCGTCCCACTTAACGGGGAACCATATCAACATTCACAACGTCCTTTTTCTTTTTCACGGGGCTACAAATGACGTTTGGTGTCTCCTCTGCACAGAGGCGGTTTGGCCAATGGAGTGCCACTGCTAAGCTGAGGTATTCAACCCGTGTCACGGGGCATACATCAGGGGTGGCTAAAGTGACACGGGGTTGCCAACCGCAGGCAAAACTACAAAAATTCGTAAAGGCGCAAGGAAAGAAAAAGAAAAGGGGCGGGGGGGGGGGGGGGGGGGGTTGCTCTTATCAAGAAACGATATGGAGGGAACAGCCCTTTCCAAAGGGGACAAGTTATTGTCGACTGCAAGAAATAACACCAGGCAGCAGAGCGTCTCTTCAACCTCTAGGCAAAAATGAATGCACGGTTCGCCAGCCAGCCATTGCCCCTGACTCCCGTTACGGGTATACGGTTCGAAATTCTTTCAATAAAGGAATCAGGTTCACTGGACACATGTATGTGTCAAAAAGCAGCTCAGCTGGATGTGTACGACTACGTAGTGTAGTACAAGCTGCCAAGACTGTGAGCTTTATTTATTTTTTTTATTTCTAGAACTCTTTTCGTTTTGGGGACACAGGAGGGGAAAAAGGGGGGCACGCTCATTAGGGAGCCGCTAGTCCATGGCATTTGGAACCGCGAAGACCCGTAGTTTTTTTACACCTCGTTCATGTCATTACAAACGCACACTGGCCCGATGCCAACAGAACCCAGGATCACTGGTTTGAATTTATTAATCGATCCGAACATTAACTCGTGTTTACGATAACGAAAGAGAGACGTGGAAGACAAGCAGACAACCTGCAGATCTTCCATGACCCCCTTTCGTTATTGTAAATTAGAAACCAACACGCTCAACCATCTACATTAACTCGTGTCTTCTTGTTTTTTTTTTTTTTTTATGTTTTGCAGTTTCACGCGAGCAAGCTATATCCAGGATCCCTCAGGGCTGAGTTTGGAAAAGACATTCGCCGAAACGTGGTGCATTGCACGGACGTTCCCGAAGATGCGCGCCTGGAGGTGCGTATGCACACGGGGAAATCTCACACATTGCTGCTCGTACACTTGCTTGTAAACTGCTTGTTGTTTGTAGGCTTTCTTGTATACTTGTTTCTGGTAGAAATATAAATGATGTCTAACGTCGCCGTCATCCTATGTTAGTGCTGTTAATAGCACCTTAAGGATGTCACTGTAACACCTTCAGGATGCCAGCCCTAGGTCAAGCTGATTTACACCCTTAATGGTGTAAATTTTTAATACGTATAAGTACGAATTATTATTTTTTGTATATCAAAGCGTCCGAATTAGGGTAAGAAATCTTGCTTATAAATGTACTTCGTGCATTACAATAGTGACATGTTGTAGTCGATGAAACACACCACGCATGGAAAAGAAATCACTCGAAGCAGTTATACGGCGGGGGGGGGGGGGGGGGGGGGGGGTAAACAGTTATTTGAAGGAAAGAGAGACATTTTTATATTTTAAAATGTATGTGTACAAAAATACTAACGAATCTTCTTTTTTTTTCTTCTTCTTTTTGTCAGTATTGTAATTGATGTCGTGGTTATCTTTGAACGATTTTATTCTTATGAAGAGATAGTAAGGAACTCCTAAAATACCTGGGTGTTGTCGCTCCTTTTTTTTTCTGTGTCATTTACTGTTGGTAAAATTAGAATAATTTGCGTTCGTGATGAATGGGTTTATAATGCCGTTATTATCTTCCAGGTGGAGTTCTTCTTCAAAGAAACCGAAGAGTAGAACATCTATTCCTCAAAACGACACTGAGTTCAGAGCAACAGTTTGGCGAGAACTTTCAGTTATCAGTTGCTCCCAATTTACTCAAATACAAAAACAAAAAAGAGTACATGTACGAAGCATTTTTGGATTATAATTCTTATATCATTTGCGCGCTCTTACCTCGACATGAAATTGTAATCATGCCCCTGGTTCGTCTTCAGTAACAATTGGGCAACCAGCGACCGCTTGCGATACTTGATTCATATATTTGCATTGATGCGTCACCCGAAGTATACTTAGTTGGTAGAGAAGGGCCATGGAAACAAAATGATGTAGACCCACAGATCGATAAAGCGGAAAGCTAACCTTAATTCTAATATGTTTAAATAACTAGTACACCTAACCTAACGTTGCTATGCTTAAACAACAAAAAAAATATTAAATTTTTTTTTGCAAGTTATTAACATTGTTTGTTGAATGCAGTTGTATTTAAAGGCAGCTTGTTCACTAATTGGAGGAACGCGCGCCGCTGCAGAATTGTACTTTATTTTAGATCCTCTGCTCAAGATATCGTAGTAAAGACACTTTCAATGCATATTAGTATACTGCAGATCGTTGGAATAAAAAAAAAAAAATCTTGTATTTTATTGTATTTGTATTTTCTGCTTATTATTTTAATTGCATTTCCAACCTTCGAATGGATTTGTCAGATTTCCGGACACATGAGCGCAGGGGCGGATGCAGGAATTTCCTGAGGAGGGGGGGGGGGGGGGGGGTCAGGTGTTGGTCAGCGTACCATATGTTTAGGAACCCCCTCCCCCTCTCCTTCGTTTACCGGCCTAAATTTTATACACGCAGAAATCAAGAGGGGGGTCAGGACATCCGGACCCCCCCCCCTCTAAATCCGCCCCTGAGCGCAAACAAAGCTGAATTACGAACCGCATGCAAGCTGCTCGCAGCAGCGCGAACATATTAGTCACCGAACTTTTTTGTTTTAGTTTCGAGAATGCGCTTCTGTCGTGTGCTTCGCTAACAAACGGTGGAAAAGCACCAGACGACTCCAATTTCCATACTTTTGATTTTGTTTGTCCAATTCCATTGACCACGGTCATCGCGTCTTTCGAAATTCCAGCGCGTATCCATTTACAAAACACTTTTAAACACTAACCCCCTTCCGGTACCCCTAGAAATACCTGCTTCCGCCCCTGGACTGAACCACAGGTACTTGAGCTCTCTCTGGTATGAATGCACTTCAGATTCCGCGTATCAAAAAAGGTAATTTTCAGTGACATCTTTTCTCCCTCTCTCTCTCTTTTAATGTTTGCTTTACACGTGTTTATCAGCTTGTGAAACATGCGCGAAATTAATCGAATGCGTACTTTTATGCATATTTGCTATCTGATCACGATAGCTTCTAGTCGAAGCAACTTGAATCACCCTAAATACTTGATGAAGTAAGCATTTATAGGTGGTCTTAAATACTCTTGTGATGTATCTTGTACAGAGCGTGCGCAAGGATGGTGAAATTTCGTATTTCCCGCGTGCGCCGGCCTCACAAACGAGCGACCGCCGCTTGCGCTGCAGTTATGTGCTGCCATCTGGTGTGAGGCATATAAACTTGACTTTTCTGTTTTGCGCTTTGCTTTACAAATTGTGCCGCGTATTTCTGATAATGAACGTGTCGCGACACATTAAACATAAATATAAAAATGAAACGTGCCTTACTGAATAAGTATAGCGTTTAGAAAGTAAGGAAGTCATAAAGCTCCCAAAGTTTCATGGGGGGGTGAAGGCCTGTACGCGGAACAGCGGCTACTCTGGTTTCTCCGGCGGCATCACATCGGGCAACACTGGGCATTGCTGAGTGGAGGAGGCAACAACTCCGGCGCTTGCTGCTCGCGACTTGGTCCGCTGCGCTATGAATTCCGGAGAGCGGCGGCATTGATCCGTTTCCATTCAAAGCTCACTTCTGGTCGCAGCTGCACGGAGCCTGCTATGGGATACGCGACGACGAAAACGAGGACTACCTAACCGCTCGGCGACGTTCTGTGTTCGTGCCCCCCCCTCCTTGCTCCAAGAGTGTCTTCGGTTATTTTGTTTGTTTGTTTTCTGTTTCCCCCGAACAAAACCGAAGATGGTGCGGCCAAAGTGCTACCACCACCACCTCCGTCGCTGCCAATGCCATCCGGTCTTCGGTAGTGTTGTTGTTCTTGTTGTCGCTGTGATGTTCGCGAACTTGGTCTCGGCGGATCAAGACGGCGAACCTGGATGCTCGGGTGTCAAGTACGCTTTCCAAGGCAAGGGATTCGAAGACGACGTTCCGCCGCGGGCGATCTCAGGTGAGCAGCTCAAACTTTGTTTGGTGTGCGCGCATTTCGCCGGCTTTCGTTAGCGGTACCGCCTGCGAGCGTCGACAAAGACAAACCGAGAAAACAAAAAAACGAGCTTGGGATTCGACTGTCCCAGCTGTGTATATATCGCATTACTCGATCTCTCAAACGTTTTCGTATCGTGCTCTCGTCTTCATTTGCGTCAAACTTTTTGCCCCCCTCTACCTCGCGATGTTTCGGTAGTACGGTACAAGCTTCATAAAGAGATCCCCACAACAAACCCACGAAAACAAAAAAATATCACAAGCACAAGATCGGCTTTAGCCTTCCGAACAAGGATTTATTTATTTATTCTGTACAACGACACGGATAGCTTGAGATTATTATAAGTCGCGTGACAAGCCTGCTGGATGTTTTTCCGTCGGCGCCGCTTTTAAAGTTTGTCCGTCCCATCGACAATTTAAAAACTATCTCGTGTCCTGCTGTTCCAGATAACAAAAATCCGCGTGTTTCTATTTATCTTTATTGCGACATTGGAGCGAGCTTTCCTGTTCCGAACAGAGAAAGAACCGCGATTTGCATGAGATTATACGGCTCCGAAGTTTACCTTCCGGGATGGCATCCTTCCAGCGTAAATTCGGCGTGTTTTTAACTGCGTTTTGTGTTGTTTTTAGTTGTTTCTCGGCAGCTCTCGTGACCAAGAGTTGGCCTTCTATCATCGCGTGCCTGATTTAAAGCCGAGGCTGTTCTTCGCGCGGGAGCCTTCATTAGATTTAATTAAACGAGATCGCGAAACGCTTTGGGGAGAACTTACTTTTTTGGGCTGCATATCTTTTTGTTCTCTCCGTCCCGCTCGTGTTTTATTTTTCTTGTTTTACGTTGTTTGCCGAATCGGCCGCAAACACTGCGAAACGTGCTCGGGTGCCTAAATTGCTTCATTCTTTCAAACAGTCGAGCGTTTTCCGCTTCAAATCTCCTGCCGCGCTTTTTTTTTTCTTCTTGTGTGTGTGTGTGTGTGTGTGTGTGTGTGTGTGTGTGTGTGTGTGTGTATGTGTGTGTGTGTGTGTGTGTGTGTGTGTGTGTGTGTGTGTGTGTGTGTGTGTTTACACTTGCGGCGATTATGAACGCACGTTCCCGGCGTTTGCGTACAGACGTTATTTTTCTTTTGGTTCGATTTAATTTTTTTTTTTATCCAAGTATAGTGTCCTCCGTATCTTCCTCGTTAGTTTAATGGGAGTCCTTTAGGTAGATGTTCTATCCACTGCTAGCGCAGTATTGGTGCAGTCTACGCAAGTACTTTTTTTTTTCTTTTTCTATCTTTTTTTCTGCTCAAGATCGCTTTTCGTAACAGCAAATTGGATTTCGATCTTGCAAAAAAACTACCAAAAGGGGTAGAGTTATCGAAGGCACCTTCGACATTTCAGGCGGACAAAAGGACACGGAAAATAAATTAAAAAAAAATATCTTTAAAGAGACGAAGAAGAGCTAGGATATAAAGAGTGTGGAAGACGGGGCAAAGTGTATCAGCGCAGAATTTATTCAGTTTAATGCCTTTGGCGTTAGCCCACGCGCTCCCGTAAGCCAGCTACATTAATCTTACAAAAGTCCGACTCCCCGTTTTTCTGTTTTCGTTCGTTGTTGTTTTTAGTTCTCTCTCGCCTGTTTTGAAACGTATCGGTGCGCTCCGTATTTCGTATAAATGTCGAGTGTTTTTGCTTCTCGCGGCTCCCACTTGAAATTGAAATCGATTTCGGAATCTTGTCGGCTGCCCCCCGGAAAAGAAGACAAGAAAACAGCGCACGTCGCGCGTACAACGGAAAACCTCTTATACCGAGGAATTTTTTTTTTTTTTTTTTCTGTCGGTATAGCTGTTAGAGGTTAGGCTTGTTCATTCGGCTTCGTGTCTACTTTTCTTTTTGTACGAGCTCGCTGTGGCCCTAACAATATTCCCGCGCCAATTCCTTCGCGTCTTTTGTGTTCTAAGGTCGAGATCTGTGTTCTTCGTAAATCTGAGCTGAATTGAATTTTCTGTCCGAAAAGAGAAGGCGCTGGATTTCTTTTCTTTTCTTTTTGATGTTGTTGTTTTGTTGTCTTTACGCCATCATTTTATTAGATTTCTCTGTAGCTCTGTCTTCCTCAGTGAGAGAGAGGACGACTACTTGAGTGTGCGACACATTTATTGCTAATAAACGATCGCCAATTTTGTCTTTTTTTTTTTTTAACATTTGAAAAGTTGATCTTAAAACTACTGAAAACGAGGACAAATTACACGCTCAGTGTTTACACAGAGGGAGGTAGCTCTGCCCTTTGAGCATGTTGACACTGGTTCACGCCGCGCAAGACTGATTTTTTTTTTTTTATTAGGGGGGGGGGGGGGGTGACATTGCGTGTAGTGCAGTGGAAAGTGTTCATTCAGAGCGCAACCCTAAGCGGTAAAATTTGCTGCTTCAAAGCCTCTCTGGGTAAAATAGGAACAAGCGCCGATATGGCGTGTTCGTACCACCAACCTTATAGGGAGTACTCACTGGACGCCATATTTGTGGCGACTGTTTAGAGCGCATGCTCAGAACGAGCTCACGTCAATAGGCTGCTAAGACCGGAACTCTTGATGGTGCGGAATGCACGTTGCAAAAGAACCGTGGAAGCTCGCCGTCAGAACGCGCTCAGCATTCGCGCACACAGCTATGGCCGCCAGTGAATACTCGCTATAGCGCGCAGTGTGAATGCGATATACGTCTCGGCAGGCACGTAGCCAAGGGGGGGGGGGGGGGGAGCCCGCCCCCCCCCCTTTCCCCTTGAAATCTTTCATTTTGCTGGAACCTCCTCTCTCCCCTTTCCCCACATGCAGCATTTTTTCATGGGCGCCCCCCCCCGCTCCCCAGACAAAATCCTGGCTACGTGCTTGCGTCTCGGGAAAACATGAAAAAAAGGGGGGGGGGGGGAGATTTGTGAGTAATTCCGAACCTGACATTGATTGACACTATTATAACTGCTGCTGCACCGGCTCAAATTCTTTTCCGCGTATTACACACACACACACACACACACACACACACACACACACACACACACACACACACACACACACACACACACACACACACACACACACACACGCGCGCGCGCGCGCGCGCGCACGCACGCACGCACGCACGCACACACACACACACTTACAATAGAAAAACATATTGTGTGTGAAAGCATCGGAGTTGATCGATACACGGACCATTTCTGTTGGTGAGATGAGGTTCGAGGATTGCTACGATAATCCTTTCCAACTGGTTGCCATAGCTTCGTTTTGAAATGACTTCAATGAAGCCTCGAATGCATTCTGGGAACCTACAAAATTTCTTAAGGGAAAGGACGAAATTGCATAAGCTAAAATCTTCATTCCACTTGGTGACGTCAAAAACTCATTCACGCTGTCGTGGACGTTTCACCTTCGCTAATTTGGAGAAGCTGTTTTGTGCCGCCATCACAGTGTCGGGTTCTGCTCAGCACGGAGAAAGAAAACATCAGCGCATAAGAAATCACATACCGCTTCCCTTCACCCTTTCCCCCGCCTACCCCGAGGCCTTCAAGAGCCAGAAGGCGGCATCATAATAAACGCTTTAACAATACAATACATATCGCTGGTGTGGCGAACGTACACTGGAACTCCCCCTTCTCGCACTTCATCGTTTTTATTTGTGTGTGTGTGTTTGTGCGTGAGAGAGAGAGAGAGAAAAAGAAAGAATGATGCTTTATTGTTTTGGACACGTTGGGCCGCTTTGACGGGCGCCTGCTCTGCCGGCTATGCATGCCAACGCCTCTCCTCCCCTGCCAAAACGGGGTACGTTCGGGCCTGGCGGGCTTCCACACGGTAAGGACTGAAACTCGGAATTTTGTACCTATATAGTACCTATATGGGTACAAAACGTTTTGGGGCCAATAACATTGGCCCAAAAACGGCATAACGTTTTTGGGCCAATGACAGCTTAAGGAACGCAGTAATTCACGTGGTGCCATTTTACTCGCGAATTCGCAGTTGCGACGTCGCTCAGGCTGCACAAAGACCGTGGTGGAGTCTGCGGTGCTCAACGCCGGAGCTGCCAAATCGCAAGAAAATTCGCAACACGTGAATCAGGCTATAGCCGAAAAACTTATCGTAAGCCAAAATGCTAAAACGCGATACTATAAATACGTTCGAATAATCGTGTCGCGAACTTGCCGCTCCAAGGTCGCTTCGACGATTTATAGCGGCCATTAACCACCAAACGGCGTGTACGTCTGAAAAAAAAAGAAAGTGGTGCGCGTGTAGAAGAGCGGAGGCCCGGCCCAAGGTCGAAACTCCACGCCGAGTTTTCCCGCCAGGTCGGAAACATTGGTGCGTGGCGGCACTTCGCGCCAAAAAACCTTTCGCGCCCATTTTGGGCTTCTGGAGAGGAGCTCGCGGGCGGCGCGCGGTTTTTGATGTGCCCTTATCTGTCCCGATAGCGTGGTTGTAGAGTACACCGACCGCGCCGGTGGCTTGTCGGGAGCGAGCTTTCGAGAGGTCGCGACCGGGCTTTGAAAGAAGCCGAGCGGAGTAAAGGCTGCAGTCCTCCAGGCACGTAGCCAGGAATTCTTTTCGGCAAGAGGGATGTTCAAAGCGGTTTGGTGGGACATCGTAACTGGTTTATTTGCCCCTAGTGTACCTGCACCGAAATGTATGAAGTCTTCCACGGTATAAAAGACCCATTCGCCGAGGCAGTTTATGAGGTGGCGCTAAGCACATATGTTAGCCAGAGGCAGTTTAGTTTTAGGGAGAGGAGACCTTATTCGAAAGCGCGTACCATCTAGTGGCTGCCGCGCCAATTATCTGAGCCCGCCATAGTTTGATGAAGTATACTCTGGTCACGATCGGCTGCGTTAGAGATCGGGGTGAATTTGGGTCAGCTGGTATCGTAAACAAATGCTGCCTCAACGTTTTTTTTTATATTAAGTGTTTTTGAATTTACATTTTATGAATCATAAATAACTTAATTTTT